TTTCACTTTTCGTACACGGCGAATTTGAACGAACTCCTCCTAGGGATTTCGCTCAATCGGTTTCAAACCTTCGCCATTTTGCTCAGTAGGCATGGGGGACCAAAAGTTATCAAAACGGTGCAAACCGACGCATGTTGAGGGGGCGGGGCCAGGCCTCAAAGTTGAGCTTCACGCCATAAATTTCCAAACGTTATAACTTTCACATTGAAAAACAGAATTGTACCAAATTTGGCACGAGTCATCCCTGTCCCATGCCCGACGATATCCTGAGGTCAAATTTTGACGTCATCAAAGCCCCGCCCCCTAAGAACAGGAAGTGACTTTTTTTGCTTGGAATGCTCCCTCCCTGACACTCTTGACCCAATCAGGATGATCCTGTGTTAGAAGGCAGATAACAAGTTGGTCTGACTTGCTTTGAAGCGCAAAGCATTTCCCCTGGAGGATGTGGGCGTGGCGGCGTGGCGAAGTCAGAAGTGACGCCGTTACAATACGTTTGGCTCTGAATTCCACAGATTTGATCCGAGGTTCATGAAAATCACTATGATCAATCATTGCCCGCCCCTTGAACAGGAAACCATGATGATTGCGCAATAGCCTCTCTAGCGCCCCCTAGAATATTTTAAAACTTCAGCCCCGAGCCGTTTTTCGACCGATAAATCTGAAACTCGGTGAACATGTGTATCTTCTCAGGACCTATGAAAAAGTCTCTTGGCGCTCCGGTCCAAAACCAACAGGAAGTCGGCCATTTTGGGTCAAAGGTTAATTTTTGGGCGTTTTTAACGGCGAATTTTAACGAACTCCTCCTAGGGATTTTGAAGGATTGACTTAAAACTTGGTTATTAGGCCCTTAAGACATTGGAGAGTAAAAGTTATCAAAAGCTTTCGGTTTCGTTTTGTTAAAGGGGCGTGGCCAGGCCTCAAAGTTGAGCTTCACGCCATAAATTTCCAAACGTTATAACTTTCAACTTGAATGACAGATTTGCACCAAATTTGGCATGAGTCATCCCTGTCCCATGCTCGACGATACCCTGAGGTCATATTGTGACGTCATCAAAGCCCCGCCCCCTCACAACAGGAAGTGACTTTTTTGGCTTGGAATGGTCCTTCTTTGACACCCTTCACATAATCAGGATGATCCTGTGTTAGAAGACAGATAAGATGGTCTGACTTGATTTAAACAACAAAACAGTTATAGCTGGAGAATGTGGGCGTGGCGCCATGGCGAATTAAAAAGTGACGCCGTTGCAATACGTTTGGCTCTAAATTGCACAGATTTGAACCCAGATGAACCAAAATCACTATGATTGATCATTATCCACCTCTGAACAGGTTTCCATGATAAGTGGCCAAGAGCCTCCACAGCGCCACCTACATTCTTCTTACAGTTATATCTCAGTGATACAACATCCGATCTGAACCAGATTTTTGGTGCGTCATTACTGAGAACTGATGGACATTTTAGTTTTGTTGTTTAATATTTGACTCAAGGGCGC